CATCCATTCATTATCAATAATGCTTATCCTCAACTGCTTCTTGCTACTACATAAATAACAGTTGGTTTTAACATGTCTGCGATGAATTCATTCAAAGTTTTCAGCCTTGTGCTGGTTTGCGTTCGGTCACAAACAAATGGAACACACCTGCACTTGAGCAGCCAGTTGTTCAACTGGTTGCCTTACTCTGTATGTTAGTCTAGCTATCCAGTCACATGTTGTGATGTATAATCCCATCTGACTTCCCATTTCCTTCATCCCCTCAAAACCCACAATCCACCTGTATGCAGTCACGCTATACAAGGTAAAGGGAGCCAGAGAAAGAAAAGGATTAACTGAGTGTGAGAGGTGTGACAGAGAGGAGGTTAAAGAGCTCAGATGTTTCCTGTCTTCTCTGTTAACTCACATTAGCTCATCCTCTCGGGCCTGGGGATTGAATTTCAGCTGCAGACAAACATGCACATGCAGCGCACACACACACACACCATCTGAATCGCATGAGCTGATCATTTTAATTGCGCCACAAACCAAAAGGAGCTGGCACACGAGATACAGAGGGGGAAGGGAGACAGAGAAGGGAGGGGGTGATTTCCCTCTCATTCACAAAGATTTGATTACTTCTCTCTTAAACACACACGTCTGTGTAGATCAGCCTCGCTGCTCTGCATCCTGATGCCTCACTGTGCATACTTATGACTCATAAACCACAGTGTTATAACCCAGAATGCACTGTTTCTATACAGATTCAGAGTACCTTACACTGGATGTATCACAGTGTACAGCATGCTTCTCCGTTCTGTGTTGTGTGACATTACTCACAGATCCGATATGGCTGCTACATTATGCATAGGCACCTCAATACAATCTGTAAGCTACAGCTTTAGATGACAGTCAACGGAAACCCTGTTAATTTTCCCTGAGCAAGCAGAAATAATTGAAAATCTTTGATTGGTTAGAGAGGTCAGTCCTGCCCAAAACCTTTAAGAAGCTAATATGTCTGTGCTGCTGCCAGTGCTGTTCAATGAGTCTGGGTCACAGGAGGCTTCGACAGCACCTCTCCATATTAAGACAAGGTTTGAAACAGATTTCTACAACAAAACTATTTGAAAAAAGTTACATACTGTAGCTTTAATCACTAATACAAGCTGTAAATAATGCAAGTGTGGTGGAACAACCCATCACCACATTTGGAGTATTTATAATTTATCCCTGTAATTTCAATTTACAGCTACTTTGATTTCTTCATGACACGAATGCAAGGTAAATATAAGGTGTGAAACCACTTTAGGATGGTAGGTGTCAGTAGCATTAACCTGTAGAGCTGTTAACTGGAGGGTGTTCCTTCCGGGTAGTCTTTGGTGGGCCAACTTCCTGTTCTTATCAGACACAATCTGAGAAAGGAACGAGGTGGTCCTGTGTTTATTGCGCTGACACTTACACATCTGTTACAGGTTGTGATCTCGTCACTTTGCTACGGTGATCCACTCCACCGGGACTCGTAACACAAGCAACATTTCAGTTTCATATATATATTAAACCTACAATAACAGTTTTTGGACTCTTTGGTCTTTGAAAATCACTGACGTTATCACCTGCTGAAATTTGTTATCGTTTATTTATTAGCAAACTGTTGGTTATTTACACATTCAACAGATATAAAGCAACACCATCTTTTATTTTGCATCTCATCCATTTTTTATTTAAAAATAATTATTAGAGGAGCTTTAACAATTCACCAGATGGTATTTTAATGGCATGAAGCGTTGTATTATTGAAAACTGATGTTAGGTCTATTTCTAGAAGCATTATTGTGTTGCAGGAACATGAGACAACTGCATGCTCAATAAATCTTATCTGAAAATTAGTCAGACTTTCCAGCATGTCTGGAACAAAATGCAAAAAATACATCAACCATAGTAACTTTGTAACAAGGTTGTAATGAAGAACACACCTGTGCAGGTTCACAGCGCGCTGCTGTGTGACCTGACACTCAAGCCTCTCTGCTACAGCATGACATCAATCATGACATTTCCATGATTTATTTCAGGTCAGGCACCAGATGCAATGAATACTGTTATACACGCTCAGTGTATTGCGGAAATCCACAGTATTCTCTCATAGCAGCCACCTCTTTGGAGCCTCTTCTGCTAATGCCGTCTCACATTTACTGTGCACTTGCATGAGATGAGAATGAGCATCTAGGGTTACAATGAGTTCACCTTCATGTGGTTACCCTTGTCCTACATTAATTCAGCACATGGTTACTGTTTATTTTGGTATTTATATGGTTCACACACATACCACCAGCTGGTTCTGTCAATACACATCAGACAGCACTGATGATGCTGAATTGATTAAGCCTGCACTTTACTTTCAGAACACAGTGAAACACTACAGTACACACAAATGAAGGACATCAGTCCTGCTGTCACATGTCATGACCCAAGATGAGGTCTTTGAGTAGCTTCCTTTGTCCAGCTGACAGTTCAAAAGCCCCAAAATATTCTGTTTAAAATGATACAGTGAAACAAAGAAAAGCAGTGATTTATCATATATGAGAAAACCTGAACCACCAGATTTATGACTCTTATTCTTCATAAATCAATATTTATGATCAAAAGTGCTGGAAATTAATCTTCTTCATCACATTCGTCAGTTGTTTGAGCACTAACGAAGAGTCCAGAGGTCTTGGCAGTGACTATTACTAGCACAAAAAGCAACAAAAGAGTGCATTGTAATAAACTGTGTCATAGTGTCAGATCAGTATGTGATCAAGGAGAAGAAGCTGCTGTCTTTGCAAAGATACAGCCTATTAATCAATAAGTGGGAGAGAGGGAGACATGTAGAGAAGGAACCCAGAGAGATAAAATGAAGAGTAGGCTACTTTATATTTCATCCAACCATGGATCAGACAAGAACCACCAGCCCTGGTATGACTTCCCTATGATTTTCCAGAGACCTACTACACCTTCCACCTCCCCACAGCTGGAAAAACAGAACCTAATACAACTAATTCTGACAAATGAGAAACAGGTGAAGTAGCTGGGCTGGATTCAACCTTTAGATTCCCTTACTAATTGAAAAAATGAATGAAAAACCCAAGTAGCATTAGATATCAAGCATAAACCTCGGTTGATTTTATGACCAAATTAAAATGTTTACATTAAAAAATCATACTACTTTTAATTTGAAAAAGAAATCTGTTTAAACAGCAGACATGACTATGATGAAAACAGTGTTGTATGAGAAATTTAAGCTTTGAAAACTTGATCTTCTTTTTAGAACTTATGTATTTTGTGCTGACATTAAACCATTTCACCTTGACACTGCAGCATATCTGACCTTGACTAATACAGTATGTTTGAAGTGCAGCTTACAGCGCTAAGATCAGTGCAACCAAATGTTTGTGACCCGCTAACAAACATGCATACTATAACAAGACTGCAGCACAAACACACACGCAACCATTTCAGATGTCAGACCAAGCAGACACGGTCATGCTCATCATCAACACAACCAGTATCCTCAATCTAGCACATTTTAAGCCAAACAATCATGTTGACAGAGCCAGGTACTAACAGGCAGAGACACACTCACATCCATCCAAAAGAGCCCTAACAAACTGTACTGGCTTGTTGTGGTGAGTCACAGTCTGTGTTGCCACCTACAGAGCCTTTCCGTAAAGCACAGAATCACTCATCCTAAATCACATCTGTCTTTTTAAGCGGCTGTCAGACAAAACCTACGATAACAAGCGTATCAGCAGACAGCTTGTCAGTGTACCTGAGATCAAAACATACTGTTGTTACACTTCTTTGACTGACTGATTCATGGATCTATATGCACTGGATCCACACTGGTATAAGCACATTTGGCAATCACTATGTTTTAGTATGTGCTGACTAATTTCCCATTAGTACAAAATTAATTTATGTACACACTACACACAGTACAATTAGTATATACTTAAATAAGTCATACATCAAATAGGCTCTGGAAGAAGCAAGTACATCTTTCCTCAAGGGCTCCTGTGGTACCATCAGTAGTACATGGTACTGAGAAGAAGGTAGACAGAGATGGCAACAGCACAGAAAGCAGTGAAGGAGAAAGGTCAGCTTGTTAAAACAGCCACTGACCAGTGGGCACTCTGGTGGCCAAATCCCACAGTGACCTTGAGACAAATGCACACACACACACTCTCTCTTACATACACATTTCATTGCCAGCAGCAGTCAGAGTGAGTTCCAGGTTCCTCCTGTTCATCATGACCCTGTGCCAAATGTTGCTGTTGCAAGCACTCTGGATATCAGCAGGCTTGCAGCTGATTGGCTGCAAAGGGGCCTTGCCAATAACATGTCACCTGATAGGCTCTCACAGCCAGTAAACCAATGACTTGCATCCCTGAGAGAACTGTGTCTGGATGCTCTAATCAATACTCTCAGCTGATTGGCTCTCAGCTTGGGAAGGTGTGGGTCTGCATCTGCATGTAGGTTTCATCTTTATTAGACTACAGAGGGTGTGTTTAAGTAACACGTGCATGCTATAACTGTGTGAATCCGGTGATCAGAAAAGCTGCTACAATTAAGTATGGCAATGCTTAGCTTACACGTGTAGTCTGGTTTCCATGACAACACCTCCTTTTCTCTGCAGACAACCTCCAACCTGACACATCACAGAGCGACCTGGAGTCAGCGATGAACTGCTTTCATATTTGAGCCTGGCCCCTTTGTATTTACTGTAGAAATCTTAATATGCCCCTGCCCTTCTAAAGGCCAACAGGTGACCTGCCGGTCAACAAAGGCCCCTGTTACTCTGATTCACCCGCTGCGGTGTGTCACGGCAGGCCCCTAGGATAATCTGCGTCAATAAAACGCGCAGTATGCCCGTTCATAGGATTTCTTGTTTTATGGTACCATATCCTTTAATATCTCGCAATGATGCGCAGTAGACTCGCAGCAGCCTTTCCTTTTTGTGCAGCAAAAGAGCAAAGCAATGCTTACCTCATCTTCCTCTCCTGTCCTCCTCTAAACGAGATTTAAAAATGTTATGAATCAGCTCAGTGCTTTGTCCGTGAGTTCTAATAAAAACGAGATCCAACGGCAGCTCGGGGTGTATAAAGAAAACTGCGATGCAGCCAGCAAAGTCTGCAGCCAGCTGGATGTGCAGATGTTGAGGGTGGGAAAGCGATAGGGTGTGGAAAATGCTACACAGATGCCCACAGTTTTCAGGTCTGTCAGTACAAAATAAATAATTCTTGTCTTGTCAGGCGGCTGGTGGTTCGGTCGATGCCATTTCAGAGGGCAGCACGCCGCTGTCGGAACGAGGAGAAGCCGGGTGGAGTGGCTGACAGCGGCTTCTGAGGTGCCATCTTTTCCTCTCTTCAACTACTGGGAGTCTGGGCGGAGAGAGAGAGGCAGGGGGAGAGAGGGAGCAGGCTGCTGAGATAATCAGGTCTGGATGGTCATGCTGCACGGTAGCGCCCTCGGGCTGGTAATACAACTACTGTACAAGCAGGTACTCAAAACGAACGCACACTGACTTATTTAAGGAAAAATTCTTTCTAAATAAAAAGTAATTTTCCTCGAGAAAAAACAATCAGAACAGAATAATAACATGCAAAAAAGGCGGGATACAAACAACAACTGCACGCACACCTGTCAGAAAGGAGGACCAACCAGTAGCCTAACATCTGTCTCAACAACAGCCAGCTGTTGTTGCCTCTCATGGAGTTCAGACTTTATGAGCGCTACCTTAAGTTACATCCTGTAGCTTTAAGTTGGTCTAAGTTTAGTGATTATGGGCTATTCGTATTTATGCTGCCACAACAGCAAAACTTATTTTTTACAGAGGGGCAGCTCAGGCAGCAAGAAACCTCCAACCAAAAAAAGCACTATATCACATTTCAAAACCCTAAAAAGTTTTTTTTTTTTTTTTTTGAAGTTTCACCTAATACCTTGCAGAGTACTACAAGGACTACATCACACTGCTGTCTAATGTGTGCATGCTTTTTGTTTTGTTTTGCACATTAGTTTGCTTTGCACATCTATTTACTGTGTTGATAGCTGACAAAGACAGAGCCGCTGCAAACAGAAGATGTCATATCATGAGATATAAATCAAGTTGCATAAATTAGGCTATTAAATACCCCATTGTGCCATTTTAGAATAATACAGACGTGCCAAATGTCAAGCATTAAAAACTAATCTCTATCAGTTTTCCTCATCACCAGCAGAGGTCCTCCTTATTTCCAAAGAGTACAATGATTCCTATCCTGGTTCATATGGTGGTGAGGATCCACTTTGAGGTCATACTGGCCACACAGTGGCTTAGTGATCATGCAAAGGTTTGTCCATTTTTGTAGTCAAGGGTCCAGGGTTTCTTTTTATTTACTTGGATTGACCATAGCAATACCCACATACCTTTCTTTGATAATCACAGTAATCCCTGGGTGGGTGTGTAGCTTTTATCTCCACAGGAGGGCGCTGAGGCTTTCTGCTAATAATGCAGTGTTAGTGCATCTTCCCATTGACTGCAGTGTTTAGTTTGTAGAGTTCACTGTGGAAGTGGAAAATGTTTTACCAGGTACAGTATTTTCCGTAAGTGTTTATTTTAATGCTTGTTCAACCGGAAAGGTCAGAGCACATGTCACATGACCTTCAACAATCATCAGAGTGTTCAGTGGCCATTAGTAAAACACTGTTTCCATCATCAGAAAATTGCTTCACCATAAGGTTCAGGTGACTGCACTTTTCTTGCTCTTAAAGTAGCTGATTTGATTTAACTGTGCCAGGAAAATGCAGCATGTAATGTAACACTGAGACCTCTGTTTGAATATAAAGTAGCTTACTCTTCATTTAGTCAGGTCACTTCTTTGTTTTAACATGTCCTAGCCACCATCAAGGTACAACCCCAGCCCACTACACACACACACAGACATTTAATGGCAAATAAAATCCCATTGGTCGACATGGTTGTTTATTGTTTTTCCTGAACAAGAATGAGCCTGTTGGCTGATTTTGGTGCATCTTGTGTATCAGCTAAGTTGAGACATCAACTGCAACATTGGGAACATCACAGCAAACAGACATTAGACAGACTCAGAGGCACACACTCACTGTCATCAATGTTTCCCTCTTATAACGCACAGTCAGTGCACAAAGACAGTTAGAGCCAAACACTTACAGCCAAACAGACTCTAGACTTGACAGAAAGAACATGAATATTAAACAGTAGCATTCAAACATTATGCAGGTACTGATTACACTGTGGTCTCAGAGAAGACTGAAAATACATTAAAGCATCTGCACTAGCCTTAAAATGAACAGTTATGCAATAAAACCCTGTTGTGACCATTTGAATTATCTGACTTCTTAATGGAAATGTTTTGAAAGTGCTCAAATTAATGCAACAAAGTCAGGATGACCTACAGAGGACACTCATCCTTGCAATTTAAGACATCCATCCATCAGTTTCTTGTTTTTTCAGCACTGGAGGAAAGTTTTATTTACACTTTATGTTCATGTGGTTGGTTGAGGCTTATGATTTGTGTGGGTTTT